TACCAGGGATCAAACTCACGACTGCCTGCTTGCAAGGCAGGTGCTTATACTGCTGAGTAAATCCCCAGCCCCTATGCATTATAGTTTCATTAGAAGCTCTGATGTGTATTGACTGTTCCAAGGAAGGCAGTTGGAAGGATGGATGTGTTTCTTCTATATTATAGAGTATCTTTATAATCAATAAATGTATCCTAAGCAGGCCTGGATTCTATAATCAAGAAAAGTTATAGTTATATATTTAAGAAACTCATGTAAAGAAAGAAGACAATACATGACATTAAAGAGTTAAAGTGTTTCCAGGCATGGTGGTGCATGCCTGTAATCCCAGCACTCCCAAGGCTGAGGCTGAAGGATTGTTGTAAGTTTGAGACCAGTCTGGGCTACAAAGTGAGCACGTGGCCAGCCTGAACTACATAACAAGACATGTCTCACAAAGATCAAAAAAAAAAAAAAAAAAAAGGAAAGAAAGAGAGACAGAGAAGACAAGTATTTACTAAAACGAAAGAATATGTGACAAAGGTCACACAGAGGTCAGAGATGTTAAGATAACAAATTAGCTGGATTCTCAAGGCAGAAGAGCTAGATCAGATCATTATGACTCATAACTTGCTCTCAGCTATAAAAGTTCGGTACCCATAGATGGTCATTCTAAGGAGATTGGTACACATCCCAAGTTCACGGGAGCTTGAAAACCCAAAACTCAATGACTAGACCAACTTGAAAATTGATTAATCATGATTTAAGTATGAACTCAGAGTAATAGAAACTGAGTGACACTGGGTATATTTTACCCATACAATGTAAATATGCAAATCAAACTTCCAATATAGCTTTTTTTCTCCAACATTACCTTGTCTTAGGCAGTACTAGATAAATAGAGGAGTTGATGGATATAGGTATGTGCCATAATGGTAACCTATTATGAGTTTTTAGTTAAAAATGGCATTTAGGGGCCAGAGATACAGCATAAGTGCTTACCTGGCAAGCATGAGGTCATGAGTTTGGTACCAAAAAACAAAAATGGCATTCAGCCATTGAAATCAAGATAAGCTTTATGGAAGAGTGGTACCATAATGCTGTGGCTGATGAATGCTGCTGCTCTTGAACTGTTCAATTTGCAAATAGAAGCTCTCAGTAAAATTTTATTTCTGTTCACAAACTCCAAACAACCGTCTTCCCTATACAAACATGGCTACTCCTACTCCTCATTCTGACATGTGATCATGGCTTCCTGGTCAAGATAATAGTTGCAGACAGACCTGTGCACACTTTCTATGAAGCTCTTTTGTGTACTTTTTAGCACATACAGTATTGTACAGTATTACTCAAGCCAACGTGACTCCAAAGAAAGTGCAGAGCAGTAATGAAGGTGACAAGAATGTGCAGAGAGTAATGAAGGTAAAAAACTGTGAACAAGAATGGAAAGAAAACTTTTGAAGAAAATAAGCAATGAATTGAAGAAGGAAATTGTAGGAGAGCATGAGCATTGTATTCATATGTCTGGTCTGGCTTCAGAGTACAAGATGGTGATGTTGACAGTCTTCAGTATTTTGAAGAATAAAGATGCCATCAAAAGAGCTGATGTGGCAAAAGCAGTAATGATGTTAACCAAGCAGAAGACACAAGTGCTAAAAGAGGTGAAAAAGGCAGGAAACTGCATAGTAATTTATCACAAGAAAACCCCTGTACAAATACAAGTGACAAGTTTAAATCCAGTAGAGGATGGTTTGATAAATTCCTCAAGAGAAGTGGTGTCCACAGTGTGATGAGATATGGTGAGGCTTCCACTTCTACAAAGCTGCTGCACAAGCTTACAAGAAAAATTCAGGAAATTCACAAAGGCAGGGTACCTCACTCGACAAGTGTTCAACCATGATAAAACAGGGCTCAAGGCTGCTGCAGAAGCCTACAAGAAAAATTCAGGAAATTCACAAAGGCAGAGTACCTCACTCAACAAGTGTTCAACCATGATAAAACAGGGCTTTTCTGAAAGACACCAAACAGAACCAAAATCACACAGGAGGAAAAGGCACTGTGGGGCACAAGTCCCTGGACAGACTGACTCTCTTGATGATGAAAATGCAAGTGCTCATCTGATGATTAAGTCACTATGCTAGGTGTGATGGTACACACCCTGTAATGCCAGCATTCAGGAGGCTGAGGCAGAAAGACTGCCACAAGTTTGAGGCCAACCTGGGCTACATAGTAAGTTCAAGGCCAGCCTGAACTATGTAGCAAGACTTTGTCTCAAACATAACAAAAGAAGATTAAACCACTGTTGGTGTACATCCCCCAAACCCCTATGCATAAAGGAACAGAATGCCTGTCATGTGGAGGGCCAGTGGAAAAGCTTTAGTAACAGGGAATTGTTCATGAAATGAGTGCATGTGGTGTTCACACTCACCATTAAGTACTCCTTTCTGACAACCAATTTCTTGAAAGATGCATTCTTTTCTAATGGACAATGCACATGTCCCAGCACACCCTACAATCTTGGTGGATGATATGGACTCTGAGTATGGCCTCATAAAGGTCAAGTTCCTCTCCTCCTCCGCATGACCCCTCTTGTGCAGCCCATGGGCCAAGTGGCCTGCAGCTTCAAGAAGCTGCACACATAATGGGTGCTATGTCTATCCTTGGTTTTGACTGACAGCTTTGTTTTGCCATATTTGACTTTATTCTCTCCCCCCCCAAAAAAAGTAATAAGAACTAAGGAGTAATAAAATCCAAAATGTGTAAATTTTGTTGTAAAAAAGAGAGGGGAAAAAAAAGAGCTCTAACAGATATAACAGCAAGTGTGTTTAGGGGTGTTAAATAGCTGACTATATTAACGTTTTTGGATCATTGAACACAGCTGTTTGCAGTCTCTCTGTTTGAATGTCCACTTTGTATTCTTTGATACTGTGATTTGAGCAACTATTTCTAAGATGATAATATGTAATCTATTAACAGGTGATTTCTTACTTTTTTTTTTGTAGTTCTGTATTACATGTACCCTTACACCGCTTTGTTTTGTTTTGTGTTTTTCTCTTTTTCCTTTTAAATAAAATTAAAAAAAAAGAAGCTGCACACAAAGGTGCTCTTCACAGGGTGTTTCCATTTCACAGAAGCAGCATCCTTGACTCTGAAAGAGTACTAAAACATTTCCATGTCCTATATGCATCAGCCTCACTGACAAAATCTGGGAAAATGTCACATACAAGACCTTCAATTCAGCCTGGAGGAAGGTGTGGCCAGAATGTGTCACTGAAGGGTCAGATACACAGGTAGTGGAGGAGATTGTGACCACGGATAAGATTATGGTGCAGACATAGAGGAGCTTGCTAAAGAGCTAACAACAGAAGAACTTGCTGAACTCCAGAGTGAACATCCCACTGAGGGAGAGGAAGACAGCAAGGAAGTTAAGAGGTTAGCAGTGAAGTGATACAATCCATTGTGGAAAAATGGAATGAGTTCCAAGGTGTCTTTGACAAGCACCACCCCCAACATAACTGTAATGAACAGACTGTTAAATCTGATGAATGTCACATGATCTCTTATTTCCAGAAGGGTAGAGCACAGGAAAGAACAAGTGACATTAGACAGATTTTTCATCAAAATTAACCCTGCAGCTAAGAAAAAAAAAGACAGGAAATCCCTGAAGGAGATGTCCCTGATGTTCTTATGGATGGGAATTCTTTCTTCAAACTGTAACCTCTTTCCCTTACACCTTCCTGTCCTCCATGCTAGAAGTCACCCCAAGCAAGGTTAGTATTTTCTCACTGTACTGTATTTTTGTTTCATGTTTTTAGGTTAAAAAATACATATGATTCAAAACAGATTAACCTTATTTAAATTGAACTTTATGGGAAAATTTTATTTTGTTCATGACTAAAATTGCTTTGTGACCAGAATCATGATATGAATTAAATTTGTGAAATGATCCACCACTATATTCCACCAATGTCTTAAAGATCACTTAGAGTTGGTGAGTATGACTTGGAGAACATCACAGATAGAGGAGAAAGGAAGAGTTAAGAAAGCAAGTGCTCAGTTTTGCTGGAATAAAGTATAAATAATGAACAGTAGAGTCTCCCAAAATCTTCAAGTGATGTGTCCAAATAGACTTTCCCACAAGCATCTTCTAATATGAGCTAACTCAAATAATAGGTATGCTGCAGGACCTGTGTGAGGAGTTTGATTATGAAGGAAAGCTGTAGCCAGATAATGGATGGTCTTAAAAGTCAGTTACAAAGTTTAAATCTTACCCTTCACACCATGGAGAGTCATAGCAGAAAAAAACTAGTCTAAGAAGATCGATTTGGCTTCAGTTTCTGGGTTGGCTTGAAGGAAGAAATGTAAGGGACAGAGGCCCTTGGGAAACTACAGAATCAATATGGGAGGACTGACAGTTGGAAAAATTCAGTACAGATGAAGCAGAGAGAGAGTGAAAGGCACAAACCAGGAAGTACCATAGGTCTTTGCTTACACACACACAAACACACACACACACACACACACACACACACACACACACGCACCACTCCAAAGGACATTACCTGTGTGCTATATATATCTCAAATAAATATAAAATAAAATCTGTTTGAATTTATATGAAATTCTCCATTTGTAACAAACAGAAGACTAAAAGATCATTGAACTACTCAGCAAATGTGATTGGTAGGTTTGTTGGGTTTGGTTTGGTTTAAGTCAGGGTCTCACTAATATAATTTATGCTATCCTTACACTCACTATGTAGCCCAGACTAGCTCACAGTGATCCTCCTGCCTCAGCCTCTTGAATGCTGGGATTGTGTGCCACCATACCCAGCAATTTTTAAATTATCTGAATATAACAATGGGTTATAATGGGTAACTGTGCCCAAGGAACACCTCAATGGAGAAGAATATATATATATATATATATATATATATATATATATTCTCTCAAAATATCTAAGTGATTTCTCCAAATAGACTTTCTCACTCGCATTTTCTAATTTGAGCTAACCCAACTAACAGGAATGCTGCAGAAAACAGAAGCAGGACCTTTGTGAGAAGTTTGATTACCTATATGGCATCCTGGAGGAAAGGAAGAATGAAATGACCCAAGCCATCACCCGAACACAAGAGGAAAAACTGGAACATGTCCGTGCTCTCATCAAAAAGTATTCCAATCATTTGGAGAATGTATCAAAGTTGGTTGAGTCAGGCATTCAGTTCATGGATGAGCCAGAAATGGCAGTGTTTCTGCAGGTAAGATTCGTTCTCAGCACCAAGGAAATAAACTCAAAAGGTGGGCACTGTGCATTAGTTCTCATTGCACTTTCATTATTTTACATACATTTCATTTTGCCATTTAAAACCGTCCTCTATTTGGCATTCCTTAAGTAGAAGAATGTTCTGATAAAACAGCAGTTACTTCTGACATTTAGTCACTAAGCTATGGGATTCTTAGGGTCAGCAAAGGAAAGAATAAAATCTCATCACTCCCTGTGGAAAAGAGTCTAAGTAAACCTATCTTCTGTTTGCTTTCACAGAATGCCAAAACTCTGTTACAAAAGTAAGTAATTTTTATTGCATGTGAAGATGCATATTTTCATTTTTACCCAAGGCCTATCGTATTTTAAACAGTGAAGCAAACAGCAACCTCTTTGTTGCAGAATTTCGGAAGCATCGAAGGCATTTCAGATGGAGAAAATAGAACACGGTTATGAAAACATGAACCACTTCACAGTCAACCTCAATAGAGAAGAAAAAATAATACGTGAAATTGATTTTTACAGAGGTTTGTTGTTCTCTTGACTATTTGGCTAAAACTGCAGGTGCGGGAGAACTGCAGAACAGTTGGGTGGGAGCAAAGTGGGGATTCAGAATCACCTCCAGGATGAATGTTGACAACTTTACAAGTTCATAATCCAATGTGAAGCTCAGTTTCATTTTAAGATTAGTTTGTAGAGAGTGCTTATTTAGCTTTGCACATTATAGGACCTATTTTAAGGCCATTATCAGGAATTTGACTCTGGATTGTCAAAAATTATAATTGATAGTGACTGTAACTCGACTTCAACCTTACACAAAGTGTCAGCCACTGTAATGTGAATTGTCAGGAGCAGGGTTAAGAATAAGATAAAAATAAAACACAGATGACATCTGGGCCCGAGAGGGTAGTATATCAATTTGATGAAATATTGAAGGACAAGAATAGTAATGAATCATAGAATAAGTCAAAATCCAGAAATAAGCCTAGGTATGTGTGATCTACACATTCCATGAGATAGAAATATCTACCAAACACTTGGCCCAGAAGTCCCACACATGAAAACTTATCCTGACAAATTAATTAAAAAAGAAAATAACTGTGGTCACCTTGACTCAGCTCATGTAGATGACAACACCCCTCAGCTAGCTCACTAACTGTGCTATGAGGTTGAATCAGCATCCACATATGTAATTTGAGAGGCAAATCTTCATAATGGGTCTATTTAAAAATTTATTTAGTATTGACTGTACTTAATGTCACTTGAGGGAATGTTAATGTCCAAGGATCAGAAAGAGAGTGATGCCATTAATTGTGGCAAAAGTTAATGTATTCACTGAAAAAAATGAAGTAAGAAATTGAAACAGGTGTGTGTTTTGTGAGATAAGCAGGTTGCATTTCCATTTCATTTGACTGAAAAAGTAAGTGACAATCCCAATGCCCTGTGGTAGCCCATGATAAAAATGTAAGCAGCTCCGGAGGGTGCACAGTGAGGGTGGGGCTTTGGGCTGGAAAGAAGAGCAAGGAGAATGATGATGGTTCCTTCACATTTCTCCTGTCCATGTTCACTAGAAACACAAGGCCCCAGCATGGCACACTGGGACCACTGTTAAGTGTCTATTGGAGAAGATTTCCTCAGCCCCAACCTTAACCTCAGCAATAGGCACTGGCCATTAACTTTTCCCACAGCTGACATGGTAGTTATAACTAGTTTAAAAACACCTTACCTTACTAGAAGATGAAGATGAAGAAGAAGGAGGAGAAGTAGGAGGAGAAAGAGAAGATGGAGAGGAAACCACAGAAGCGGAAGAGGTAGAAAATGTTCAAATAGAGTCATCAGGAGAAGATGAAAGTCCAGAAAAAACCTCAGAGCCCTCTCAGCTGACCTTGGAGCTCAAGGCTGCCCCAGTTTCCTCTCTGGAACCACCTTCAACCCTGCCACCTGCTGCAGATGCCCCAGTTACACAGGTAACCATTCAGAGGTTCCTTTCTACAGCCTGTGCCTCCTTTCTGAACACCCAAAACAATTTATTCTACCTTAAGAAAAGAATAACTGCATGCCAGACATTTGTGTGTGTGACAGACAGGACATTTCAGGACAGTCGGAATGTCAGAGAGAAAAGTCCCCTGGATGATTTAACAGATTGATTATTGTTATAACTGGTTGGTAAGACTTAATATCACTTTCTCACCAATAAAATATAGGCAATTTTTGTCTGGAGAGAGAGGCACAGAGAGCTGTCTATGAGACAGACAAAGATCTATTAATTCATAGACAGCTGCTGCTGTCATAGAAATTTAATCTGGCTTGTGTTGCTTAGTGAATACATATCTAGGATATGTGAGAAACAACATGTTGTGAAAAATAACATTATACCTTCAGAACTCTGAATTTGCTGTAGATAATAGAGGATGTACATAGAGAAGCCACACTTCTTTATGTTCCTGTGGCTTAGCCTAAAGTACAATTGTATCTTCCTTCAATGAGCAAGCAAATGAAGCCTGGTTTTCTTTTTGTAATCTAGTAAGACTGTGTATAATAGGATTTTTTTAAAACATGTTTTTGGAAATTGTATTCTTTCAGAGCTGTGCCTGATCCGCTAACCTTATGTTTATAGGATATCACTGTCCAGTTTTCAAGCTTTTATGCAGGCTTCATGACAACTCAACAAACAGAATCCAACCTGCTGAGTTTGCAGGAGCCGCAGTTCTGCAACTGCTCTTAGCTTGGATTGAAATCATCCAAAGAAACAAAAACCCAGAGCAAAAATCTAGAGATGGAGTTATATTCTATGCTCCTGTCTCCATAGGGAAACCAGGCTAAAATACTACTTATACTTCCTAGAATCTTGAAATTCTGTGTAGACTGCTTACAGGTTTTAAATTTTAAAAAGGGTAGTAATTGAAGAGGATTGGATTTGAAGTCAATCGCTGATTTTTAAAAAACCAGTTTGGAGGCTCACGTGCAGTGCCAAATAATTAACTCTGGTCAATACTTTGACCCTTCTTCCTTATCTGATATTTTATAAATGACTTGCACTTGAAACTTCTGCTTTCTATCTACCTTGTCTAGCAACTAGTAACAGACAATCACAGAAAAGAAGAGAGGGCACAGCCAGACGCCAGACACAGGGCACTGACATCGTTATTGTGCCCCTAGTACTTCCGGAGAGTGGGAAGACATTTAGGGAAGAAGTCCCTAAATCAGGCACTGATTTAGAACTCATCGTTTTCACACCCAAAGGGAACTAAAATCAACTACTTTTTTCTTTTCTTTTCTTTTCCCTTTGTTTCTTTTTTTTCTTTTTCTTTCTTTCTTTTCTTTTCTTTTCTTTTTTTTTTTTTTTTGTCCTTCTTTTTCTTCTTTTTCTTTTTGTTTTTGGATTTATCCTGATTAAGGGGGAGATTGTACTCACAGGCTCTCAGCAGAGCACGGAGTCTGAAACTCCAATTCCCGAAGCAGCGGAAACTGCGGATCCCTTGTTTTACCCTAGTTGGTATAAAGGCCAAACTCGGAAAGCCACCACCAACCCACTTTGCACCCCAGGGAGAGAAAGTTCGGGGCAAATAGGGTCTCCAGGTTCTGAGAATTCGAGTGTGCAGATGGCAGAAATGGCAGACGCTGCAGCCAGTGAGAGGGCAGCAGTGAGTGGTAAGGAAACTAGTTCACCTGCAGCTACTTCTCAGGTTAGTGTCCACGCTCTTGTGTCTGAATGCTTTCCCATGTCCCCTGCAGTCCTGCTGGAGTAGGCCACAGCAAGAGAGAAGCGCTTTCAAAGAGTTGAAAGAAACCGTGATCCTGGGGAAAAAACACAGAAACAACTCATCCTCCAATACTGGCTTGTTTTTTAAGCGTTCTGTCAAAAACAAAATCAAACAAATTTGACTTCACTCCATCCATTGGTGGTGACCTCACACCTGGCTTCCTAGGGGATAGGATGCAAGTGGGCCTGGGCCGTAGGCATGCTGCGGAAAGCTGCTTTGCCTGCAGTGACTGGCTGAGGCCGCTAGTTCTTTGTGCTGACCACCTGCTCTTACTCAGCCTTCCTTTTAACCCCCGTGGGCTTTTAAAGACTAATTTTCTGCTTCTGTTTCATTCCTAGCAGATCCCAAAGAGCATGTTTGAATTAGTTCTAGGTCTGCCCTTGGAAAATAATCTCAGATATCTGGGTTTTTCAGGAGTGTTCTGGAAATAGCTAGACAAAGATAGACTCGGCTTGGGTAAAACAGTGCTTCCCCAGCTTGGTTTCCTGGAAGCAAGACAACACAAGTTTTCCTTCACTGTTAAAGGGAATTCTTTATAATGCGTTTTATAATGAATGTTTGAAGTCTGCATCTTTTTCCTAATGCCTGAGTGAACACCTGCATGTCTCAGAATCCACAGAAGAAATCTTGCAGTTTCTTTATATGGAAGAATGTTCATGATCATTCCGACTCATGAGCATTGTGAAATGATGTGTGGGGTGTGAATGTTGGCCCAAAAAAAGCCTGTCAAAGAAGTATCCTCCAGTTCTGTGCTCCTAGGATAGCAAGCTTCGAAAAATGACTCTTTTTTCTGATTATACCTGCTCAAGTGGACCTCAGACTTCATGAGGTTATAAAAGGAAATGATTTGGGGAAAATTAAAAATAGCATGCTTTTTTGCAAGATGTTTATTTTCACAGATGCATAATGACAATAGTAAATGTTTGGTGTGAGGAAACCTTGGTTTTTAGGTTTAAAAAAGAAGTGGGTTGATTATTTCTAGAAAGATTATGGAAATTCTTATATATACTAGAAGTTGAGAAGGAAGAGCTATTTTCTGAAGACAGTACAGCAATTGCCCCATAAGGAACATGTAGTAGGTCTTCAACTGCAAACGAAAAATCCATCTAATTGATGTTGAAAAATAATTATTCATGATAAAAATCAGTGAAGCTTTCTTCTTGTTTTCTCACAGGAGTTAGCAATCTGCCTAGCACTTTTGGCTTTTCTTGTACTTCACTACATCTGGCGTCAGATTCAGTGCTTGATTTTTGCTTTAATGGGTAGGAAATATTTTCTTTTCCCTTGACTAACATTTCATGTAGTTTCTTCCATAATATTCCTCGTCTGTAGGCCCAGAGATGAACTTGTCCCCAAACTTTGAGGCTCTGTCATCTAAAACTGTGTTCACAGATAAAACTCAAGGCCTCAACTTCCTACAATACAGTCTTTGTGAGAAGAATTAGTCCATTGTCTGTTTCTGCATGGAAAGGAACTTTGACTCAAAACAGTGACTCTTGGGCAATTATTCAGCAATCCAGTAGAAGTGACTCTCTCCAGGATGGCCCCACAGGATCCTAGTAGCACGAGGTTTCCTGATCCTGTGAGAACTAAAGGCTCTTAGATTAAGGAAGAGTAGCAAAAGACGCATTCAGGAACAGGTAGGGTTATTATAAATTTAAGAGGAATATTTCTTCTTTTGCTTATCCACAAATGCTCAAGAGGTGGCTGGGCGATGGCTCTTAGGGACACTGTGCTAGAAAGTTCCTACATGGATGAGAAGTGGACTGGGTGACTTCTCGGTTCTCTGTGAACCCTCAGTCTCTGCAAGGTTTCTTCTGGGAAAAGAAGTCCCTGAGAGAAAGGTGCCCTTGGCACAACAACAACTGTTGGAGTGCATCCAGATGGCATCTGAATAAATACTGAATCAAAGATCAATGTGCCTTTATAGACAATAAGGAATTGAAACCAAGAATAAGCCAACAGTCCCTGCCTATTATTCCACATTTCACATAATCACTATTATGATGTTTGCTTTGGGGCTGACATACTACTCCTTGAACAATCTTTTGAATGTTTCCAGCTTCATTAATAGCATTTAAAAACTAAAAACAGGTTGGAGATTTAGCTCAGTGGCTCAAGTCCTAGCCTGGTAAGCACAAGGTTGTGAGTTTGATCCCTGGTACCAACAAAACAAAACAAAAAATTTTAAAAATAAAAAACTGCAAACAACATAGAGTATATATGATCCTACAGGCTTAAGACTTTGATCCCTGTACCCTTGGCTCAGAAGTAGTTCAGGGTCCCAACTACTGAAAGACCTCAGCTATTTCTGGCTCTTGACTTTTCCTGGGTTGAAAACGATTGTCCTGCAAGCTGCCATCAGAGAGTTCCTTTTCTGTTCATTTGTCATCTGCTCAGTAAACACAGCAGGATATTCACAGGCCCCTGCCATACCTGTAACTGTATAAGCAGGATCCATTCCCATGCCTAGTGGTCAGCTGGGAATCTGTATTCCTCAAATGTTCTGAGTGCCTAGCTCAGCTGGCTAACTCCTCCTCCTAAAATTATTTGTATAAAAAATAGTGGACATATTAGCCACAAACTCTGGGGAAGGAATACTGGGAAGAGAGAAAAACGCATGCTCTATTGGAAGCAGGACCTATTTTGGATCTGAATAATTGTCTGAAGAGTTCTATTTATATTCTGAGAAGTGAGTTTGGGGCTTTGTCACCCTACATTTATCTTTTTAATATTCTCTGAGGCTGCAGGAGGAGTGTCTTGTTTCATGACTGCCATCCAGTGAGCCCATGTCATGTATGTCTGTGTGATGAGACAAGGGTGAGGCAGGTGGTGGGGTAGGATGTGGTGCATTTGCATTGATTGATATTCAGTACTGAAAAGCGCTTTGCTTCTGTAATTAGTTCTCTGTTCAAGAAAGGGTATTTCATATAAACAATTAGCTTTCTTGTGATAGACTCCCAACCACTTTGATCCCTGAAATGTGATATGAACAGTCAATAGAGATCTCACCACAGTAGCACATTCTTGGCTTTTTTTTTTTTTTTTTTTTTTTTTTTTTTGCAGAGCTGATTCACCTTTGCCACCATAGAAGGCTGTTTACTAGATTAGTATTCATCCAGTGTAAGAGTAGACAGCTGGAATTTCACACTTCATCACTAGTCAAACCTTGCACATTTCAGATGTGACACAAGAGTTCTCTTGATTCACTGCTGGACTCATTCCTCTTTCCTAGATGTTCTCATGTCAGGGAGTGGTATTACCTGAGAAACTCAAAACCATCCCAGGCTAATATATGGATCTGCAAGCTCACATCAGCCCCCATCAGCTGAACTGCAAATCTTTTAAGAAGGCAAATGTTGTATATCCAGGTGCTTTCTTGAAGTCCATTCACCCCACAAAGCCTTCCCTTGACCTATGCACACAAGCAAATTATGTTTTAAAAACTTGCCACAGCAAAAACTGAATGTCAGTTCTTTCAGCCAGTGGTGGATGGAGTGTCTCCTTTTTGTTATATTAGAGAAATATTGTTGCCTTCTCCATCCTAATTGGGTAAGAAGAAAAATAATTTGTTAAACTTTGTATTCAGGTCTATGGTAAATTTAAATGTCAGAAAAGGTATTGATTCCCACTCATACTTTTACAGAATGCACTTTGAAACTTATTATTATCTCATTCATGCCAGAAAACTGTGCAGAGACCCCAAACATGAACTGGCCTTTATCTTCAGAATTACCCATTAAGTTTCTGCCCTTCTGGGACTATGCCTGTGGTATGCAATGCTGGTGCAAAGGAGAGTTTGGTAGAAATAACATTGGATGATGAGTTAACTTTTAAAGTTATTTTGAAGCACTGCTTTGTACCCAGTCAATCTCAGGAAAGAAGGAATAATGAAATGGGAGAAGGATGTTGTAAGTCAGGTTGACTGTAGGTTTGTTACTGTTTTCTATTGTTCTTGGTAGGTACCACAGACTACATAATTTCTAAATAATAGAGCTCTGCAATCAGGGATATCCAAGAGCATCGTGCTAGAGTCTGTTAAGGGACTTCTTGCTGCATTAAAACATGATGGAGGCATCACGGAGCAAGCGTGTTAGCTAGCATCTCTCTTCATCTTCTCTCCACACTCCCCAATATCCTGTCTGCTACTACTGGGGATTGATGTCTGAGCTACACCCCTAACTCTTTTTTTAAATTTTGAGACAATTAAATTGCTCAGGCTTGGTTTCAACTTGCAGTCTTACTTCAGCCTCCCAAAGTACTGAGATGACAGGCGTATGGCATCATCTTCCGTCTTTCCTCTTCTTATGAAGCCACTAATGCCATCATAGAAGTCCTACCTTCATAACTCCATCTAGTCCCAGTTTCCTGGACTGGGGAGTTAGCTCAAGGGCAAAGTGTTTGCTGGCAAGTGCAAGGTCGTGAGTTCAATCCATGGTACCAAAGGAGAGAGAGAGACAGAGAGAAACAGCAAGACAGAGACAGAGACTCATTGTTTAATCTCAGTTCCCTCCCAAAGTTCCCACTTCTAAATACCATTAACATACAAATTTTGTGATTAAATTTTCAATATGTGAACTTTTGAGAGGACACACTGAAATCAATAACTATCCCTGGGGAGCCATCTCTATGCTGACTCCTCATCTCGTATTCAATCTGCTTCCACCTAATGTCCCTTCTCTGCTTACAACATTTGCCTTCATGCCGCACCTGAGTGTTGGCACAGGGACTAATCCCACTCCTACCCACTCCCTGCAGACAACTGGGCATTTTAGTCACAATCTGTGTGGCAATTACACTAATATAGAGGTCAGAGCAACAGCAGTAAATGCCCCCTCCCTTCTCTCTTCCGTGGCATAGTGGCTTTGTGTGGAAGAATCCGTCAAAACCATTTAATGGGAGCTGTGCAGAGAAAAGGAGGG